CACGAGGCATCACTCACTAGCGGATCTCAGACTTCTGGAGGGGAGGTAGACTCGTAGTAGTGAGTGGAAGTAGGCGGATGCTAAGCCTGTGGCTGCTCTATATGCAAGCATCAATGTCTTGAACTTGATGCGAGCCGCAACCGGTAGCCAGTGCAAGGAGATAAAGAGAGGTGTAACATGGGCTCTTTTGGACTCGTTGAAGACCAGTCGTGCCGCTGCATTCTGAATTATTTGTAGAGGTTTGATTGTGCTTGATGGTCCATCCAGAAGAGCATTGCAGTAGTCCAGCCTAGAAATGACAAGGGCTTGGACAAGAAGTTGTGCAGGATGCTCCGTTAGAAAGTGCCTGATATGTTCTTTCATCCATGCCGAGGTGTACGCCAGGCAGTATGAGATCCGTGCAGCTACCGTTGGATCATCTGGTTGAAATGAGAGATAGAGCTGTATGTCATCAGCATAGCAATGGTAGGAGAAGCTCTTGAGCAAGGCATTTAATCCCAGGTTTCTCTAAAGGAACTGTACCTGCATTAGTGTCCTGCAGTGTACTTTAAATAACAAGCGTCTGTTGAATGACAAGTATAAATATTTGTAATTGCAATTATGCCGCCCTTGTCCAAACAGTTTCAAAAGGGTTAATTCAAGCTGTCAGCTCATTACAATATAATGGTGTTCATTATAAAGATGTAAATTACAGTGGGCAGATATTTTGCTGAGTGAATTAGCTCAGGTGAGGTGATTTATAGTTGATCTTTGGATTCAGCTTTTTGGATAACCGGGGTAGTTGTAGCTCAAGATGCGAAGGAATAGTTTAAATAATAATGAACATTGTCATATTTCACTCAACCTTTATGATTTTCTTTCTAATGTTATCTCTTGAACTTTCCAGGAATAAAGTGCTCAAATTGTGAGACTTTTATGATGCTTCTGTACCATTTTTGAAGCTTGAAAGACGTTTATTATTCCATACATTAACTGTATGGAATAGACCATGGATAATTATTTATAATGCCTCATTCTTTATTCCATAGAAAAAAAATTATTATACTGCTTGTTAATTAACTGCTGAGCAAATTATGACACAATGTTCATCTTTAGGTGCACCATTCCTTGAAGGTAGACTCTCTGGAAGTGATTTTCTGGTGATGTGGTTCTACTCAGGTTTGACAATGGTCAGTCATTCAGAGGATTGTTTTGTGTAACGGGTTATAGAAGATGATCAGGTGACGTGATTGAATCCTCTGAACAGAAAATGCATTAATGGTTGTTGTACATGCATGCACGCTATCCAGGCACTTTCACACTTACACGCTAAAACACATGGCTGAGATGTCAGAGATATGCTCAGGCATCTGTTGTTAATCCCTTGCCATTACTTTGAATATCGGATGAAACATACTGTAGGTACATGATTCACATAATTATAAAATTCCTCACAGCGTTGACTGTACTCTCATATAAACCTGTTGTTGACTGCATACTGTTCTTGCTTTTTCTCCAAATGTGAATTGACAGCGCATTTCGCTTCAATTTACTTTTAAAGCATGAAGTGCCACAGAGCTCCAGTTCATCAGGATGATTCCTTTTGGCCAATTTCCCAGACAAATTAAGGAAGCAGACAGAAGTCCACAGAGATCCGAGCACAGTTGAGACGATGTTATCACAGCCCACAACAGCCTCTCACAGACCTCAATCCATTTCACCTCTTTTAAACAAACACCAGATGTTCATCCTTCATCCTCATCCCATTGCCTCGGTACATAGATCAGTTGTGTGTGGTGGACTTGTGAATGAGGAGTCAAAGTCCCCTCTCTAAATGTGAGGGATTTTTTATCATTCAATTCATGTGATGTTTACATGAGTTTGGTTAGATATGAAAGACCAGTTATCATACACTATCATCAAACAGCCAGTGCTATAATATTGCTATTATAATTTACAATAACACTATTTATTTATAAATCCTAGTCACATCAATAAAAAAATAAACAGTTAAAAAGATAAAATTAGTATTTATTTAAATGTATTTATAATGATGATGATAATATTAACAATAATAATAATAATAATAATAGAAGCAATATTAATAATAATAGCGAATTTGATTTTGACTTAGTTTGGTTCAACAAATTCTACTGTGTAAATTCATTTCTAAAAAAAAAAATAATAATTTCTCCAGTGTTTTTTGCTTATTCTACGTGTAGCACAGTGGCAGTATTGTCAGAAATGCTTTGTTTATATTTGCTTCCTGACTAACCTGTGACAGAATTTAAGTTATCAATATTTAGAGTCAGGTGCATTAAAAAGTCCCTCTTTATCTTCCACAGACACACACACACACACACACACGCACAGCCACTACTGCAAACACTTTAAACAATGCATGATACACCTTATTAGTTGTTATTATTAGAAATTGTACTAGTCAATTTCAGGCAAGAGAGTTATTTTTCTTTTCTGTGGGTAATTGCAGTAGATCTGTTTCAATGTGGATTTTACTTATTAACTCATACGTCATTTGGCACGTTTGTATCTGTGTCGTTTTTTTTCCGGAGTATCTGCTCTTGTGGTGGTTGGGTTCAGCAGTATTGGCACTGAGGTTGGCAAAAGAGTCCTCTGGGTGATATTAGAAGCACGGAAGTAGCGGGATTGGGCTAATTTAACACCGTATTGGCTTATTGTACAAAACATGTATCAGTAGCCTCTGAGAACAGACCCTCCCGGACCTCTCTTTCACAGTGTACAATTATCTCATACTGGGCTAGTGGTCAGACTAAATGATGTCCTTTTGTTCCGCTAATGCTTCTAAGTCTGTCAAACACTCGGCAGGGCTGCTGTGGGCTACGTCTGTCTCTGTTAATGGCTAGTGTGGAACTGATCTATTTCAACCAATTTCAATAAGGAACTCTTAAAGATATTACCTAAACGGCCAGTAGCCATAAGCACTGAGGAAAATGATGTTAACACCCTTCTGATTATTAGGTAACATAATGGAGAAAATTGAATGCTATTACTCAGAAGTTATCCAATAACTCTTATAGTCTCACAGATCAGACAAATAGATGGGCCCTCGTGGGTTTCTTATTTTCTAAAAGCCTATATACTTCAATATAATTGATTTTTCGGGGCACATTTGTTTTGTAGGCTGTAATTTAGCCATCTGTGTGGCTGTGGAGGACAGATGTGGGGGTGGTGCGCTCATGACTTGCTTATTTGAGTCTGTCATGTCTAAGTGATAGGCTGCAGATGTGCAGCTCCAGCGGCTTAGTGGCAGATCTTGTCTTGCTATTGGTTGCAGATGAATTTCATTGTTACAACCAACACCATTAGCAGACTGATCAAGATGCATACTATTTTAAAATGTATTATTACTTAGGCTAACTTTTAAGTTCATGTGTTTATAAAAACTGCTGTGCCAGTCAATGTTGGTGCAATATGTTACAAGTAAAGTGTGTAATGTAATCAGGTTTTGTTCTGGCCTGAAACTCACAGGTGCAACCATTGTCTAAATTGGCCAATTTCGTTACAATCAAATCTTGTTTTCTTTTGGTTGAACATTTTGGCATTTGATATCATCATCAGTTAGCTCCTGATGTGAAGGTTGTTACAGAAAAGCAGGTCAATTTTGCCAAGATGGCGAATGAAGTGAGAGAAATGTTAATTATAATTCCTTCAATACCAAAAATTATGAATAGAAAATAGTTCATTCTAGTTCAGTCTAATTAAAAATATCTGAATCCACAAATCACCAAGCAGCTGTCAGTCCTGTGTCTTGTGTTTTGCTCCCCACATGTTCAATGACCCCGTTTTCCCTCATGTTTAATTATGTTTATTGATCCCAGGTGTTTCTCGTCAAGTCCTGTGTATTTAAAGTGTTTCCAGTTCTACTTTCTTTGTCCGGTATTGAGTGTTCGTCAATCCTCTCCCTACGTGTGTGTTCCTGCCTGTTTGAAAGACGCGCTCAGGACATTGCGGTGAATCAGCGGTAAAAAACTATATAAATACTGTTCAGTTTCTTGCACAGACCGATCGTTTCGTGTCTTTACACATCAATGTATCGTCACGAGCCGCAGGGTTTAATTTGGTTTTGTTTGTGTATGTTTTTTTGACTCTCAAAGCCATGATTCCCATTCACTTCCATTATATGACTGACAGACTGCAACGGTTTGAGTTAAAAAATCTTTGTTTGTGTTCTACTGAAGAAACAATGTCACCTACATCTTGGATGCCCTGGGGGTAAGCAGATACACATCAAATTTGAATTTTTGGGTGAACTATCCCTTTAAGCCTTGCATTCCTCAACACATCTCTAATAGCTAAAAGAGAACCATCACAATCTCCCCCTCTTCCATTGTGGAAGTGGTTATGAGTAATATTACCCATGGCTGGATTACCATGGATGCTCACTTTGAAAATAGTATGCCCAGGGCGCCCTAATAATATACTTTTCTGGTGCATTTTCAGTGAACTATAATTTGGAACATGCTAATTTTAATCTGGCATACTATTTATGGGTAGTATGCGAATTGGGATGTACTGATTGTTCCAAATGTCTTAATTCAAGAGAACCGTCACAAACGGGAGTCTAGAAGGACCAAACAAACAATGGCTGCTGTAGACTGTTGTGTTGTTTATCACAAATGTTGTTATTGTAGCTTGACCTAAGTGTTACTATTTTTCAGTAAAAATGGATTATATGTTTTCAGAGAGGCTAATTTCAGCATGTCTCTGTCCCCTCTGGCATTACGGCCCTCAGAGCTCAGCCAATAGAGGGTCTGTAGCAAATTGAATAATGGCAGGGGGTTAAGCTGAGCATCTGGCAGACCCAGGTGTGTTTGTACATCTGCTTGTGTGTGTCTTTCTACGTAAGTGTGATTGCGCGTTCTATACACCACCCCCTGCTGGCGGTTGGACTACAGCACCTCTCTTAGTGGCCAGGGGCTGCCAATACCCATCAGCGTCAGTGTGGGCAGCCCGCTGGGTGCCTAGAGCTGAAGTAATGCGCCGCCAGTGAGCTTCAGCAGCGCCATGCTAATGTGTGCAAACCAGGATGAAGGGGAAACATAGGTGAGCACCTAGGAGGGAAGCATAGAACGGCCACTCACACGCAGACCAGGCCAACTTCATGCATAAATATTTTATAAAGCAATTATGTATATGTGTGGCCATGTCTCGGATGGGTTTGTTCATGCCTTCTGGTCTTTTGTGGCTTTTTACAGTGTTTTAATTGTTGAAGACATGTGGTCCACTGTAAATGATGTGTCTGTTCTCTTGGTTTGAGTATAGTGGAGCTTTAAAGACCGCAAAATTATATTGTTATTAATATTATTGTTGTTGTTAATAATAATTTAATATAGAATTTGTTTGGTACATTTAATATGTATATTTTTATAATATATTTTTTGTATATATTCATTATTGTTCAAAAGTTTGGGTCAGTAAGATTTTCTCTCTTCTCTCTTAATGTTTTTCAGTAAGGATGCATTTAATTGATCTAAAGAGACGGTTTGACATTTATAATGTTACCAAAGGTTTCTGTTTCAAATAAATGCTGTTCTTTTGAACTTTCTATTCATCAATAATCCTGAAAAAAATGTATCACAGTTTCCACAAAAATACTAGGCAGCACAACTGTTTTAAACATTGATAATAATAATAAAAAATGTTGAATCTTGAGCAGCAAATCAGCGTATTAGAATGATTTCTAAGGGATCATGTGACACTGAAGACTGGAGTAATTAAACATTGCCATCACAGGAATAAATTTAAAAAATGTAAAAATAATTTAATATATTTTAATAAAAAGTTTAAATTTCACGATTCGATTCTCATTCACAAGCTTGCGATTAGATTCGATTACTGGTTCGATTCAATATCGATTATTTTGGATTATTACATATCAGGTACAGTACATGCCAAATTTTCTCAAGGAAAAAAAAATATCTCAACTAATGCTGTAAAATATACATGAGAGTCAGTTGGTACTACATTACTATAATATTGAAGGTTAAAATTTACTGATTTGTAGACAACTGCTAAAATTACACTTAATGAAATTTTTAAAATAATAAAGTTACAATTACGTAATACTTCTACTTCAATTCGTTTTTTTGAAATATAAACATTTAAATGGTGGCTGTCTAAAACTTAATGAATTTATTCAAACATAAATTAAACATTGAAGAACAGTAAAAATTATAATGAATATGTTATATGGTGCATATATTTAGCAAAATGCCCCTCTCTACAGTTTATTTTTCTAGCGTACTAATGAATTTATGGTCACTGAATATGTTTTTTCTGAGGTAAATGTGATGTTATGTGACACATTGTTTACAAGCCGTTATATTGACGTTTTTGCGCTGCTGAAACACAGATTGAGAGATTACGTGAGACAGGATAAGGATTGTAAAGTTGTACTCTTTCCTTTAACTTACCTTCGGATGTTTAGTCATGATTATTTTGTGCTGAAACTGGTATTAATGTGGAGGAGATGATCAGTTCACGTGCGCCTCGCGCTGCCACTTTTACTGAACTGAGGCGCGCCGCGCTACAGCGATCTGTCACTCCACATTAAAAAGCGCCAAAACGGCATTTATTGTTTAAATTCAGAATTTGAAATCTGAGACTTTGTTTCATATTAAAAGTGCCAAAGCACAATGCTAACAAAAACCTGAATGCAAAAGCAAATGCTTTTAGATAGATCAAACCTCTGGTGAATCAATCAGCAGGTGCTCTAATGGGACGATGGGGCCGAACTCTTCGCGGACAGCGTTGTGTGAAGAGATGGCTCCTTGTGGAGATGGCATTGGCCCTGAGTCACCGACTGACTTACTGTGACAAAAGCGTCTTGTCAAAATGTCACACCTTTGCTTCCAGACTGCTGCTGTCCCCCAGCCTTCAGCTTGTCCGCTGTCATCCATTCTGACACGGGACCTGGATTTGCTCTCAACATTGCAGCCCTGTAAACATGTTCAGCCAATAGAGAGGGGAGGCTGGAACAGCGGGAAGAGGCAAGAGACTCATGTTTGAGATTTCAGATTGTACACAAGTACAGATGGAGGGAGGGGACAGAGTAAAGAAGTTGTTATTGTCAAGCTCTTCGTCATGTGTTTGGTGGCTTCATTGTAATGAAGTCAACAGCTACTCAAAGTTTTTGTCTAGATGAGCATGTAGTCTAAGCAACAATTAGCTATTAGCAATAATGACAGACCTGTTTCAACATCATGCAGTAGCTCTGTTCCAAGACCTAGTGTGCTACATCAATGCCTACATAGGCAGCTGCTTTTTGAGACATCAACTTAATTGTCCTACATTTGGAAAGTTCTACATAGCAACTCATAGCATAGCATTTCAACATGTGATCGGCAATTGAAGTGAAAATGAAAATTCATATCGTTTTTCTAAATGCATGTTATTGCTCTTTTTTTGCAAAGGATTCCTCGTATATGTTTTATGTTTAATTTATTATTATTATTATTTAATAAATCAAAATATCATAACTCAGATCTTTTGGGGAAATGACAGGCTTCTCTCTGGTGATGTATGCTGGACTTCTCAGATCGCTTCATTTGCTTAAATCCCATCCCTTTTTTACAATTGACTGCAAACTTTCATTCAGATCTGCAGCCATCTTTAATAAAGATTGATTTAGCATGTTGCTAAGCTAACAGCATGATACTATAAGCATAAAAATACACAGCACACAAAGAATAGATAAATATTTATGCATTGTCATGGGTTGTTGCAATGAAGACAGATGAATACGAGGAGCAGCATCCCAACACAAAGTTTAATAAGAAAGTGACAAGCAGACAGGCGGTGACCGTGATTTCACCAAGTACAACATGTTCCTGGATCAACATCCTTGTTGATCCTGGAACAACATTCCAATTAACCAATCAGAATTGAGTGATAATTTTTCAGGAAATATCTGTTTTAGGCATACAATCAAGGTTAGGTGCTTCTACACCCTTGTTAATCAGCTATCATTTCACACTGATTTTAGGAATAAATTATGGGTAAGGTTAGGTTTAGGGGTAGGGATTGGGTTAAATCTGTATTTTTGGACAGTAATGTTGATCCAGGATCAACAAAAGATGTTGATCCAGGAACATGTCTTACTTGGCAAAATCACGGCGACCCAGACAGGCAGAGCAACACAAACTAGATGCAACGGTGACTGGACCAAAAGTGAATGTGAAGGAGCAACTTAAATACACAGTAATGATGAACCAAAATGACAAACAGCTGTGATGATGATTAAGGAGTGTCTATGACGACTGATGACTGGCGGGAAACTAAGACAAAGAAAACACATGTGACTAATGAAAACAAACTGAAAGTCCATGAAAGCAAACTAACTGAACATATCTGTGACATGCATAGGTTCAGTATTTATAATCAGCATTGGCCACTTTGGATTTTTTTTCACTAAGCTTTCAATTTTATTTAATATATTTTATATGTTATAAATTATTTAGTAGTTAGTAGTAATAAAGTAGTATTTAAGTTATTGTCATTCTTTTTTTTAATGCAGACACAGCAGGGCAATTTATTTATTTATTTATTTTTTTGCCCGTGATTTATTTTGTTATCTGATTTGCATAGGTCCTTTACAGAACTTATAAAACAATGCAGACACCAAATTTTTTTTTTTTTTAAATGTGTTTATTTAACGAAGACAGTAATAAATATTATTGTAAATGCACAGAGTTAGCTAAAGACTATCTGTAATACTAGTCACCCTAAAAATATATAAGATTGAAATTACGAAATAATTAAAATTATGTTGTAAAAATATACAAAAAAATCAGCAGTTTCAAGAAGAGCATTTCTCCAGAGCACTGCCATTTTTTCCACTTTGTTTTTTTATTTTTATAATTCTTTTCTTCTTTCTGACTGTGTTCCTGTGGCGCTGGTGTAGGAATTAAATGCATTAGAGGTATTAACGAGCACATTAAATTAAGACTATAACTGCTGGGCTGCTGTAATGGTGGTAATGAAAGGGGTGATTGCTGAGAGCTGAATGTACATGTAATGTTAAAAGGAGTGAGACCAACATTCTGAGAATACAAATCCAGTTAAGAGTCAGAGTTCTCCATCACTACTCACAGTGTTTTACTGTACATGGTTATTTACTGCTCCCACTGTAATATTATTTACCCTCTTATGACAGAATGGAAGACCGTTTTTTTCTCCTGCCATATCCTTCTGTAATACCAAATAATGGAAGGAGATAGGGGACATGTGATGCTTTTCATTACATTTTGTCACTCCACTTTGTATCATGCCTAAGAATTCCCCCTAAGCACAGTAAAATCACTGTAATGCATGGCCTCTTTAGGCTTATTGCTTTAAGCACTTAGCATCCATTTACAACAAGCAATCAGGTAAGACTACAGGGCTTATTGAATATTAATGGGGTGACAGAACATCATTAACATTCATGAGCAAGCTAGTAAGTCTTATAATTAAGTGTTCCTCCCAATTTTTCAGACCATGTTGACGACATATATGTAGATTGTCCTCAACAAAGTTCACAGGAGTTTGGATGAATAGCGGAGGAGTTCATTGTGTGTGTGAGAGACAAAAGAAAGGGAGGAAGAGAGAGAAGGACTGAGGAATCACACTGTTGAAAGTCAGTTAGATGGTAATTAAAAAAGACAGGAACATTGGATCTCCAGCTGGGCTTGACGTGGCTAGTAGAATGCTGCCATTAGTGAAGTAAGCTTTCTGCCTTCCTGCTCTCCTTGCAGCCACTAAATTAGCAACAGAGATGGAGACAAAATAGGAGATGGGGGATTAAAGTAACTCATTCCAGGAGGAACATGAACGTGACAAATATTTATTATATGGAAGCTAATGTGGTGGATACGTGAGATGATAGTGGATAGAAGGGAAGGATTCATTCCCAGAGAGAGGAAAACAATGGATTGGTGTAGGAAAGATGAGAAAGGTCGGGAGAGAGAGAAGGACTGAGGAATCACACTGTTGAAAGTCAGTTAGATGGTAATTAAAAAAGACAGGAACATTGGATCTCCAGCTGGGCTTGACGTGGCTAGTAG